GTTATCCATGGGAGGGGTTCGGAGGAGATTTGGGGAGGGAAGGGGACGGGAAAGAGAGTCGTTGAAAGGGAGAGGTGGGTCCCTTGGCCGTATATAATTATATCCCACAAAATGTCAGAGGACAATCCGTATATTAATGCAGATATATATGTAAATAGACATGAGATGCATATACCCAAGCGGATACATACACACCCGACAAAATAACCGATCCATTCTTAAAAGAGATTAATGGGTTATCATTGTCAAGGAGGGGATTTTCCTACTGGACAATGATGTGGCACAATCCCCATCATGTGGATAAAATAGGAGATAGAATTTCACTTGGTTTTACATCGTGAGGATTGTGTCACATCATTGTCAAGGATGAGATTTCCCTCCTTAACAATGATACCCATTAATCTCTTCTTAAAATATCAGTGAACAATCACGTCGCTTTAAATATTAACTTGTTTATTTTCCCTCTTAGACTATGTACATGTGCTCAATGTGATCATTTTGCAAGTCTACAATCAGCATTTAGCACATCATTTGCTTGACAGATGTTTTTTTTTTTTTTTTGACATTTCATCATGAGTTTTTATGAGTTTGTCGCTGATCTAGTATGGTAAACACCAGTCTCGATTTGTTTACATTTCTTCATGAATTTTTACAAGTTTATCACTGACTTAGCATGATAAACACCAGATTTGATCAAATTGTATCCCTGTTCTGGATGCTCCAGGTCGCTAAGCGTTAATTAGTATATTAATGAGCAAAACATTATGGCCGGGATAAGCGATCAGAGGTATCGAGTAAACGGAGAGTTTTGAGTCATAAAAGCAGCACCAAGATGAGATTGCGGTTGCTCCATGCAAGTAGGTAAAATGGATGAAATCCATTACTTAGATTTTGAATCTAATTATCATCATTAACTAGAGATGTATCAGTATAATAGAGGTCCGAATGAGATGGAACGAGACACCGCATGCTCAAGAAATTAAATGGATCTATTGGTATATAAAACAGGCGGGCAAAACTATAGGGCATTGATACTAGACAGATCCGAATCCTCTCCAATTATTGTCTAATTGGAGAGAATCGACTTAATCTTCATGGTTTATTCCAATTTTAAAACACACGATAAAGTCATGTTAGATTTTCATTATTATTATGAAAACCATTGAAAAATATTATTGTATTAGTAGAAATCCTACATGGCATTAACCTGCCCCTTCAAATTGAAATCAATAGTGAATACTGGAGTAATTAGATCCTCTTCAATTACCAATAAAAGAATATATATCGATGTCATCAAGATAAAGGTGCCTTGATGCATATAATAACAAAAACCGAAAACACCTAATAATGAAAGAAAGAGAGGAAAGGAAAGGAAAAGAAAGGAAAACCAAAAACACTAACAACCTTGCAGGTTCCCAAATACCTACAAACCTGAATCGATTTCTAGACTTCCCGTAACTTTCGAACTGCATAGATCATATCAGGCCACTTTGTCCATCACATACTTCCTTTGTTTCCGACAATATCTATTTCCAACTCAAGAAAACTAACAAAAACAAGCACGTTATAGATCCAATTTCCAGGCCGCGGTCTTAGAAAAGCGTCACTAACATGAACTCAAAAGTACGTGAAATATGGAACCACAACGATCAAGGGGGGGAAATTAATTTTATTTTTCTTACTTCAAACACCAATAAATAAGAAACATTCATACACCTCCACAGGGGTATGCATCGGTCTGTACAGATGTCCACGCATGTAATGGACAATTATCTGTTCAATTTACATATAGTTCGCTAAAGTTGATTAGATCTCCATTCCGTGTTGCTATTTCAGGAAACTCGTGTTGTTAATCAACAGCGGCATGAAATACCATTACGTCAATTATCCCAGAGTTTAGACTCCAACCTCAGACATGGTAACAAAACTCAAACATTAGAACCTGCCATTTTTGTTGATAACTACAGGTTAAACCAACATTACTGAAATATATTATGACAGCTTGATCGCGAACTCCCGAAGAATGCTACACACGATAGTGAACACAACAACATCGTGCTATCAACTAAATTGAATACAGATTCTTCCCCATTAACTTTTGAATTCTTCTTCTTTCATTAAGCTTTCATTGTTCTTATTACAACAAAAACACCAGTTCCGACACTTTTATCTACTTTAAAGAATATTAGCCAAGTTGAATTCAGATTCTCACTACAACTTTTGAACTCTTCTTCTTTCATTAAGGTTTCATTATCCTTATTACAACAAACACTGGTTCCAATAATTCATTTGCTTTAAAGAATACTAGATCCTGTCTATAGTGAACTTAAATGAGATTGGGTTGTGATTAGTTTTTGCTTAACTTAGATAAGAGCTTAATATGTGTTTGGCAAAAAGCTGTACAAGATTGGACTAGTTCTATTTAGTTCAAAAAAGGAACCCTTGTCCACGTTATCTTTGGATCACCTCCACCTTGGTTCAATCCTTAATCAGATTAGTGTGAAAGGTGATAAAACTAAAATAACTAGTTCAAATGTGGCCCAAATTTTGCAAACTACAAAAAAGCTAGTTTTTTAAGATCATGCTCGGAGTTGCCAAAAACACCATCAAGTATCTCTAACATCAAATCCAAAAGCGCCAGAAAGAGCAACAACGGCTAAAAAAACCAATTCAGATAAAATTCATAAGATTTTTTTTTTAATTAAAAATTATTCCATAAACGTTCTTATATATTCATCATCCAAAGGTCTGAAACACCACTCATCTTCATAATGTATGACATCTTCTAACAGCTCCCTTTTATCTCCTACAGCAACTTATACTAATCTCTCGTAAATCTTTGTAAATGTAGATCCTACAAAATTTTAAAAAGCAACAGAGGAAATCAAAAACTAAAAGGAATTCCTCAAGCAAGAGAGAACTCACCTCCCTCTCAATTATTCAATTATTTCCCAAATCTACAAACCTCAAATCTTCAATCTTCAGTCCCAATGATTTTTGCCCGAGATAAGGAAGTCTGTAGGTACGCATCCACCTCAAATTTCGCTGGAGCCAGCTCTTTATACTTTGCAAACTTCTCCTTTGCTTCCTTGTTCCTCTCCAACAAGCTCAAAATCACTCCTTGGCAAAAGTAAGGCCTGTAATCCTTCGAATCCTCCTTAATCAACTCCTCATAATCCTCCAATGCTTCATCAACATTTTTCTGCAGATACTTTATCTGCGCCATAATCAACCTCACATCTCTCGCTGATTTCTCGTTCTCCTCCGACCTTGCAATCTCAAGCGCCTGTTCCAGCCGCTCGATCACCGCCTCGCCTTCACCACAGCGGTCCATGAGGACGGCGTTCTCGAAGAGAGCTTCGAACAAAAGGGGATCGATTGCGAGAATCTCTTCGTAAAGCTTTCTTGATTCATTTGCTTCTCCCATCTCGTTGAGGATTCTTGCCGCGAGAAACTTCCATTCGACTGTTGAAGGCTGGTAGGATATCAGTCGGTTGAGGATGGTCAACGCTTCGGAGTCTTCGCCTTCTTCGAGCTTTTGGTAAACTAGGGCTTTGAGAGAGTTGATCGTTTCCGAGCTGAACTCAATCGTTTCGGTTCGAGTTTCGGCTTCCGACTCGGTTTCTTGGACGACCGGGTCGGCGCGCGCCGGCAGTCGGCCGGAAAGGAAGGAAGCTGAGGCGGCGGAGAGGACAATGGCAGCGGAGGCAGCGGTTTTGACGGATTTGACGATAGGATTAGGGCTAGGGTTAGGGTTTGAGGTGGACGAAGCCCTCAAAGATGAGATTTTGGAGGTCCTAGGGTTTAGGGTTATGGTTTTGATTGGGGGGCGGAATGGGGAGATGAGGAGATTTTCGAAGTGGATGGGGGTGGATGAGATTAAGCAATCCATGGATGGGGGTTTGAGTTTCAAAATCAGGGTTAGGGTTTTGGATGAGAGAGGGGAAATGGGAGGGGATTTTTTTTTGGGTTCTTGCAAGTATTCCACCCACCCTAAGATTTGTTCAACACTCTTAAAACCTCCAAAAGTAAATATACAATTCTTTGAGCCCTAAAATACAAAACTCAAGAGTTTAAAACATGTGAAGACCATAATACACATTCTCTCTCTCTATCTTTTTTTTCATGATGTCACTGTAATAATTTGAAATGGGTTTTGAGGGGAAAAAATTCTAGTCCCTCTAAGTTTTTCCAATGACGTCGACATCGACGATGAAATTTTCCCAGCGTTCGTTCATGAGGTCAAGAAAACTGCGATCTTGAAGACGGTGATGATGAGTTGTGATGGATTCAGCGTCGTCGTTCCGAAGAAAAAGGTGGGAACTCCGGCGACTCCCGATGTAATTTTTTCCCTTTTAAAACTTGTACTTGAATCTGAATGCTATATTTTTTGTTATTTTACATATTATTATAATTTTTTTTAAATCGAAGACTTGAGATTGAAGTAGAGTCTGTAAATTTATATATTGTTATTATTTCACTATAATGAGTTTGTTATTAAGGTTATGAGTTGGTTGTGAAGGAAGTTTATGTGTTGGTTTTGAAGGTTACAAGTTGATTGTGAAGTTTACGAATTGGTTGTCAAGATTACGAGTTGGTTATTAATGTTACGAGTTGATTGTCAAGGTTACGAGTTGGTTGTGAAGGTTACGAGTTAGCTGTGAAGATTACGCGTTGGTTGTGAACCTTGGTAAGGAGTTGGTGGTGAAGTTTACGAGTTGGTTGTCAAGGTTACGAATTAGTTGCAAATGTTACGAGTTGGTTGTAAAGATTACACGTTGGTTGAGAATATTATGAGTTGGTTATAAACCTCGACAATGAGTTAATTGTGATTGTTGTTAACTAACATTCACAATCAACTCATAATCTTCATAACTAACTCATTGCGGAGGTTTGCAACCAACTCGTAACATTCACAACAAACTCATAACATTCACAACCAATCGTAATCTTCACAACCAACTCGTAACCTTCACAACCAACTCCTAACATTAACAACCAATTCGTGACTTTCACAAGCAACACGTAACATTCAAAACCAATACATAATCTTCATTCACAACCAACTCATAATCTTAACAACAAACTCATTACAGTGAAATAATAACAATATATAAATTTACAGACTCTACTTTAATCTCAAGTCATTGATTTTTTTTTAAAAAAATACAACAATATGTAAAATAATAAAAAATATATAGCACTCACATTCAAGTACAAGTTATAAAAGGGAAAAATTACACCGGGGGGCGCCAGAGTGCTCGCCTTTTTCTTCGGAACGACGACGCTAAATTCTTCGCAACTCGCCATCACTGTCATCAAGATCACTATTTTCTTCGCCTCATGAACGAACATCGGGAAAGTTTCATCGCCGATGTCGACGTCGTTGAAAAAATATGGAGGGAACTAGAATTTTTCATCCCTAAAATCTATTTCAAATCATCACAGTGACATCATGAGAGAGAGAGAGAGAGTATTAAGGCCTTCACATGTTTTAAACTTTTGGATTTTGTATTTTGGGGCTCAAGAATTGTGGATTTGTTTTTGGGGTTTTGAGAGTGTTGAAAAAGTCTTGAGGGTGAACGGAATACTTGTAAAAAAATTGGAGGCAGAAGCAATTTCCCCTTTTTTTTAAAAAAATTTGGGTTGTTGGGGGTGGGATGACCGGCTATGGCCGGTACAGTCTCGTGATCATCGGCCGACGGCGATGGGGTTGTCTTGTTATTAGGTGAGGGTAGGAGAGAGAGTTTTTTAAAGGTTGGCTCTCACATCATAATTTGTTTCTGGGCACGTTTTCAAGTTTTTTTACCCTTCTGTTTTTTAATAAAAACTTTTTTTATTTGCTTTTTACTAGTTTCTAGAAGAGTGACGCCCGTGATCATCACCGAAAAACCAAAAAGAAGAACAGCGGACACCAGGTATGAATTTGAGGGCTTGACGAGCTGTAATATTCCTATCAGAACGTTACTATATATGAGAAAATTTCAGCCACCCACGAGTCAAAAGAATTACCAAAATGTTCGTGCAGTGTCTATACTTGGATCAAAAGTGCGGGACGTTCTGATTAGGGCTGAGCATGGTTCGGTCCAAATTGAAAAAATCAACCCAAACCGACCCGAAAAAATCGGTTTTATGAATAAAGTGGTTCGGATCGGTTTGAAAACTTTTCAATCCGAACCGACAGAATATAGTGCAATACTACCCATTCTAATCTCAAATCCTACCCGACTCGTACCCAAAGAGTCAAAGACTCAAACCCTAAACTTATTTTCTGAATCATTATGGGTTAAAAATAATATCATTATATCAGTGTTTAATGCTTCATAATCTCCTACTTTGTTGATATTTTTTTCTTCAACACAATTTGTTATTTGATAAGAAGTTTGATGAAGTTAGAACCAAACAAACCGAACCGAACCGCACCGAACCGACTTGCAACAGTTCGGTTCGATTTTGAATTATAGACGGTTCGGTTCGGTTATTCAAATTTTGGTAAAAACTGAACCATACCGACCGTTGCACACCCCTAATTCTGATATAATTTATAGTTCTTGGTATGTGGACCAAGTCCTTTGACGCTCTGATATAATTTATAGTTCTTGGTAAGTGGACTAAGTCAAAGGACGTAAACATTATTTTCGTATAACTCCAAAATTTTATAAAGTATCTACTACTTCTATTCCTTTATACATAAAGAAAAATCTAAAAAATTACTGTTTATACTATATTAAATATTATAGTATAAACAGTAAATCAAATCTAGTCTTCTGCACTCGAAATTATTGTTCAGTTACAGTAAATTACTGTAGTATAAACAGTAAATCAAAATTTTCTCCTCCAAACTTAAATTTACTATTCATGCTACAGTAATTTACGGTGTCATAAACAATAAAACAAATCAAATGTATTAAAACTTTGATCATTCTTTAAGTATAGAGGAATAGATATGATTTCTAATTTTAAGCATACAATAATTAAATCAAATGTATTAAAACTTAGAGGGACTGCTTAAAAAATAGGGGATCGTGCTTTGCACAGGGTGCAGACTAGTTTAATCTAAAAGCAAAACCTTAAAATCACTATTTATACTATAGTAAATACTATTTTTGAAACAGTATAGTTTAGTATTATTAAAATTATTGTTCACTCTACAGTTAACCCCTGAACATTGTTTATGCTAATGTATATTTTTTGGATTTTAAACATATTTAATATGCTACCGTTGTTTCTGCCTGATTATCCACTGTTCAAGTTGAAGTAATATTTTTTAGCCTTGCAAAAAACTACTCATATCTTCTTCTTATTTTTATTTTTATTTTTCTTCTTGTAGATGTTTGTTTGGTGGAAATTTTGAAGTAAAAAAAATGAAGGAAAATTGATATGTATTCCTTTAATCTCAATTACAATTGGATTTCCTGATTACAAAAGAGAGGAGAATTGATCTGGATTCTCCCATTTGTTTAATTCTGGGTTCTTCACGGTGGCGATGGAATGCTTCCTTCGAATGTTTGCATCGAATTTGCTCTCCGTTGACGATCCGGATATCTCAATTCACTGGAACAGCTGACTTGTGTAGTGGAACTGATTAAGGGCTCTTGACGAGCTTTTTAACTAGGAATGAGTGACGAACTCAGGTGAAAAAGAGTTGTTTGAACCGAAAATAATTCGGTTGAGAAGCCAAGTATCTCGTATCTAGAAATCTTCACTTGTTGAGGGTTGTTGCCTCCGGAATCCAATCTCTAAAATCCGATCCCTAAGTCTGTTGAGTTTGTTCATATTTATAGGGGAATTAGAGGTATATCTGCCCCCATAATCCGCACTTATATGGGAGTTTAGTCGCCCTATTAATCGGGTATAACAACCCACTTAAACCACTCCCCAGATCGTGGGTGAACAGCGGTTTTCTCGTAACCATATGGATCGCGTTTGAACGAGTCAACGTCTTGACTCGCGCAGTGTCTGGAGTCGTGTTTGCAGCGATATGAAGCTGCGTTGGCAGTGGTATGGAGCTGCGTTTGCAGTGGTATGGAGCTGTATTTGTAGCGATATGAAGCTGTGTTGGCAGTAGCTGTAGAACTGCGTTTGCAGCGGTATGGAGCTGCGTTAGCAGCGGTATATATGGAGCTACGTTTGCAGCGGTATGGAGCTGCATTTGCAGTGATATGAAGCTGCGTTAGCAGCAGCTGTAGAACTGCGTTTGCAGCGGTTGTGGAACCGCGGATGTAGTGATTGAGTTGACATTGGAAATTACTTGTGTTTTACGGATGAGTTCTGCTTTTGTTTTGAAGAAATCATTGCCTTGTAATCTCTTCTTGATCCATAGGAGAATCCTCTAATTGCAGCTTTCCTTTGTTAACAAGAAAGTCGTCTGATTATAACCTCCTTAGTCAAAACTGTCAGCTGAAGTCTGATAGGGGTGAACGATTTATTGTGATTTTTAGACAGCCTACAGAACCCCCTCCAAAGTTTTTGAAAGTTCACGGTTGACTGGGACGAATTTTTAAAATATTTTGGATCCCAAAATTTTGTTGTCTGGTTGCTCACTTCGTCTGACTCGAAGACATTGTGAGCCTGGTTGTCTGGATAGTAACTTTTGCGTCTTGATGACAACGAATTTAGTCAAACAAGCTAAAGCCCAAGTCATTACTGACGAACCAAACAAGAATGATGATGATAACGAATTTGCCTAAGTCCTTAAGATGCTCCACTCAATCTGCGATGAGGTGTATTCATCGGATTTCGTCTGGGTCCTTGAGATACTCCACTCGATCTACGATGAGGTGCATTCAATTGTCTAGAAAATTCTTGTAGGAATTCATGAACATGTGAGGCGCAGTTGCAAGAGTTGGGTAAAAGAGATCTAAGGATAGCAAAGCAACCATAGAAACACCAACTGCAAACTTGTCAACAGGGTCATCCTCAGTGAGGTTGAGCACCTCTGGGCTTAAGACAGATCCATTATCATA